ACTGGAGACTGGCTTCTGGAAAAAAGAATGTGAAGATGCATTTAACAAATTGAAGAAAGCCTTAACATCTGCAACAATCCTGATGTATCCTTAGCTCAACAAACCATTTATTCTTGGCACTAATGCGAGTAGTGAGAGTCTCGGTGCAGTTTTTTGCTAAGAAACAAATGTTCAAATGGTATGTTGCAGCATACTGGAGCAAGTGTCTATCTAAACTAGACAGGAATAACTGTGTCGCCAGTAAAATGTTGCTGTCCATAGTTAAAGCCGTAGAAGGTGGAAAATCCCTATTCCGCACGTATCATGCATCATTGACCTGGCTTTTAAATTTCAAGAATCAGATAAAATAGCCATTGGTACAGAGAACTCCAAGAATATGCCATCACTGTCCATCAGTGGAAAGGATCACCAGACGAAAATGCTGACACCCACTGTCTAAAAAGCTGCCAATATTGCTCCATTGTTGAACCGAAATGCTAGTTTCTTAATCTGGTCGTACGTCAAATTAAAAATTTAGCATCATCTAACCCAAACCTATAGAGTGACAAAGTAAAGAAAGCCAGTTGGGAGACGGTGGCATTAAATCCACAGTTTACTTAATGGAGTCTTCATACAGGAAACCTACCTGGCAAGATATTTAGGTGTATAGTACTACGACAAAAAAACATTGGATTCTCTGGGGCTCGCTCCATACTTGAAACGGAGTCTGCACTGGAAGTTCGAATCAGATGATGGAAAGGCATTCTGATAGCAAGTGATACTTCCAAGATCATGGAGGTCATTAATTTACAAGTCAAACGACAAAAATCAGCGTTATATTTTCAAATTTCTCTTCCATTCCTCGACATTTGGTCACACATAACACATCCAACTTCAGTACTATGGTTTACTGTAAACCATCATGGGCTTGTTTTCCGTGCACTTCACGTTTGCTCTTCCAAACTATCTCTTGAGGAAGAACTAAATTATTTAAAAGCAGTAGCTATTGACAATGGCTTTTCACCAAACATTATTAATCAAAACAGTTAAAAAATTCTCATCTCAACACACCAAAAGGCACACTCTTGTTTTAGGAGATCATAAGAATTCTGTTATCATTCCCTTCTTTCACTCAATTAGCTATAAAATTTCACGTATTTTACACAAATTTAACTTTCATGTAGTTTATTCTCCCACCAATAAAATTCCGATTTCCATACTCAAGGACCCCATTCCGGATATAAATTCCTGCAGTATTTACAGGATTCCTTGCCAGTGTGGTTTAATTTACATTGGTCAAACTACGTAAGCCTTAAAATTTCGCATTAAGGAACATGAGACATATGTTAGAAAAAAGGAAACACAGAAGTCTTCTGTGGCCCAGCATTGTTGGTCCGAAAATTACACTTTCAGTTTTTCTGCAGCCAAACTTATTCAAAAAAACATCTTTCATTGGTGAATTAGATTTTCTAGAGGTGAATTAAATTTCATTTCACATTAAAAAAATTATTTCTGTTGTAGTTAACGATTCTAATTACAATCCATCTTTACCTTCAGCCTTTAAGGAAATTGTGTTTTAGTTCTTGTTTCATCAACAGATGGCGCCAGTAGCTCAGCTCCGGTTCAGTATTTCTTATCTTATCTAATCACTGTATCTTATCTGATTGATTTGCGCTTTTGCAGCTGAGGATGATGATTCTGTAAAACCATCGAAAATAGTCCTGTGAAAATTTGAAAATATAACGCTGATTTTTGTTTTTTGACTTCTAAATTAATACTTGTTTGGCGTGTTATTGTATCTTAATCCTGGATATCCTTAAAGAACTGCATAACAGTCCACAGCAGGCCAGTTCGGAATAATGAAGATTGCTTAGGGTTTGAGAGTGCTTCTACTAGAGTAATTAATGCAAGGGATGACGTGCAAAAGTAGTACCAATCCTCGGTGCCTGTACGAGTCTGAAAAACCCGAAGAAATGCAGGCAAAGGAAGCTGTAACACTACAACATAGCAACGCCTTTTGAACACATAGCCTTTGGCATCCTGCGATCTCTGACATGAAGTGAAGTGACAAATATATCTTCGTTGTCATTTATTACTTCACAAAGTGGCCTGACTCGTATCCTAACCCTGATCAAGACGCTGTCACGGTAGCAGAGGTAATGGTACAGCATTGGATTTCTGGGTTTGGAGTGTCTCTTTAGTTACATTCTGATTAAGGAAGCAATTTTATCTTGGCTCTAATTAAAGAACTTTGCAGACTACTGAGAATAGGGAAAACCCAAACGACACCTTCATGTCGACAATCAGATGGCATGGTAGAAAGGTTTAATCAAACCATCCTTAGCAATCTCTCGTTGGTGAATTCCAGAAACCAACAAGAGTGGGACCGTAAGTTACCTCTGGTCTTACTGGCCTATCGCAGTGCTGTCCACGAGACTGCCAGTTATTCCTCATACCAGATTACACAGTTTGAAGTTATGTACTGTTTATGCACAGGAGCGAGTTAACTTAACGATGAAGAAGAAGACCCTATATGACACAAGAGCCACAGGACATCGATTCAACAGAGGTAAAAGGGCGTGGTTATGGAATCTGATTTAGTGGGAAGGACTCTCTACTAAATTACATGGTCCTAAGCAGGCTGAAGGGCATCAAAAATCAGACTCGTAAATCATCAAATTCTCAGCCTAAACTCGTTTGTTCATTATGAGGGGCTAGCTCCTTACTATGGTCATACTAAATAGTCCTCATAGTGTATATAATGTAAATAGTATATTAAGATGATGGCCCTATTTGTATATAAATTTGTAAATTAATGCATGTATTTATTAATTTAATATTTGATTTTTTGTGTGTTATTTATTCAAATTATTGTTTTAGTACTGCATTGATTTTCCTTAGCTGTAAGTATTGCTTCTTGATTGTACTGCCGGGATATGCAGTCCTTGAGAAGGGAGCAACATTACAGATTTTTTATTAAATATGTAAATAACTATAGTGAAATTGTATGTAAAATTATAGTATCTCTTATGCGAACAAAGCTCCCCTGGAAAAATAAGGTTACAGAGAAAGTCTATTTAACATTGAGGTAAATATCTCTATTTGCAATATAGCACCAAGCTAGTGATGGTTTGATGACTAGTTTTGTTACCAAATTGGGTGAGAAATCGCCAAATTTGACAACATTTTGGTCTGGTCCCTGCATAACTGTAATTTGTACTCTAATTAAATAACTATAATTGATCCCTGTATGTAACTGTATCCAGCCCTTATATGTGACTCTAACCATATATGCCTTTCAGTAATTTCGTGAAATGGAAGGTACTGGATATTTCAAGGCGGCCAAGGTAAAACTATATAAGATTCGTGAGAATATCAATTTCAGAATTTCGTGCATTCTCAAAACTTCATATTTTTCACGTCTGCAGCACTCAAACAGCTTCTCATGGGGTCAGTACTTGGCAGGGTGACCTCTCACGTGACTGACTGCAATGAATTGCAACGTTTTCTTCTTCTCCTTCAACTCCAGCTCGACGGCCTAACTCCACCTACTTCATTTTCGCACAGTAAATGCTAGTTGCAGCTTCGCCTAATATGGCACGACGGTTTTCGTCTTAATTTAAAAATAATTACCAACTCCTTAAGGCACAAGCCCATGATAAGCGGTAAACGCAGAGTTCTGCTAAAGGCTGCTCAAGCCAATCAACTGTTCTGTTCAGTTTCGCAGTTTTTAGTTCAGAGCTGAGTACTGAAAGATCTCCGTGCAAGCTTCGCTCTTCGGATGCACTTTGCCTTATGTTGCGTTTTAATGTTAATACTATTTTGAAGTGGTATCAGTGATTGTGCTATGGCCTATTGAGAAGAGTTGTGCGAGTATTTTTGTGGAAAGTACCAGAACTGTGAAGTGTGTCTTTTGAGAAAATAAATTTTATCAATCTGTCATCATTTCGGTGTGCATTCACTGCATTACGAACCCGTAATCACTCAACATTATTAAAACCCCGAGATTGTATTTAGGTGATTAGTTGTAACATTGCAGAGGCCACTGCAATGTGCTAATCGCTATCGCTCTATGGTAAAAGCGGGAAACGGTGTCAGCCATATTTCCAGATAACTTTATGAAATAGTTTTCTGTAAATCTTGTCCTCATGTATTTAGTATTTTTACAAATGGCAAAGTTTATTCTTTACAGACTCAACAATATTGATGTAATAAATCAAATAGGTTTATCATATCAGTTTTTTAAGAAACGTGTTTTTATATATTCATAAGCGTTTCAAAATATCAGCAAAGCTACTTCATTTATACATAGCAGGAAAACATCATCTTTGATATTTTTTTTTCTTTTCCTTTTTTTCCCCTGTCAACTCTTTGGAGTTTTCTGAGACTAAAGCCCTACAGTATTCAGCTGGAATATCTAATTCCACCTACTCACTAGCTGCATTTCCATGGCAGACTGTGTTGGTGAAATTATTCACCTTGATATTTTAAATCATTGGTTCATAGCTTTAAATGCATTTCCTTAAAATCTGCAAAGAGCTTAAAATTTGTTCTCATAAAATTACACATGTAGTAGTTACAAAAGGGATTTGAGCATAATTGCTAGACTCAAAAATATTTTATGCTATATTTTTAGGGGCTGTGGGCTTTCAGAACAGAAGCAGAGCATTCTACCTTTCTCACAAGCATTTATTAATGTGAAGTTTCATCTACATCACTGATATTTTAAAATCTATTTTTGCATGTATGCTAAAAGGAAACTGTGTATTTCATACTGTATTATCTTATAGCATTAGAGAATGTGCTGTTTTTAATTTCTCAATATTTATTAAAATAAGATATTTCTTAAAACTCATTAAAATAAAAACTTAAGTGTTCTCATAAAAAACATCCCCATTAGCATAATTTTTTTTAGTTAATACTATTTATATAGCCCTTTATTACATATAAATAGAAAAAATAAAATTTCTATTTTAATTTTTTACGATTTTATTGTAAGCCATAGTTTGTTTTTGAATTAGATGGCAAGATGTAAGCAAAGCAGAGTGTTCAGTTCAGTGTGGGAGAGGAAAACGAAACAAGATGATTAAGTGCATGAAAGAAGATTTAACTTCTCAGATTGCACATGTTGTGCCAGAAGAACACTGTCAACATTTAGGTCCAAAGCCTAGCTCTGAAGAAAACTGCTGGGGCTCATGTTTGAATTCATCATGGATTTATTCAGATTGGTCAGAGGTATTTTTTACATGCATCTGTGTACTTCTTGATTGACTGTTTAATCATCAGTAATTTAATGTTTAATCCAATGAGTTACATTAATTTTAAATACAATTATTTTTTTATGCAAACTGATTCTGTTGTTATTTTATTTTCCTAAATACTTAGATATAACTGGACTGATCTTGGTCTATCATACAAGATTTTGGTTCATTTTCTAATATATTTCTTATTATTATTGATACAAATATGTGGAAAATGTTCACAAATCATGTGTGTAAATATATCTGCACAGGAGTTTATATTTGTGCATATGTATATTCAAGATGGTTTACAAACTGACAAATATTATCTCTTATAGCAAAAATAGTATATTGTGTGCTACTACTGATAAGATATCAGTTTTAATGGTTTTTCATAAATAAAATGATTATTTAGAATATTTGACTAAAGTTGTTTAACTTCATGATAAATGTATGAATTAGCAGCTGTTTAAATAGGTGTTCCATATTTCCTTATATCTCACTGCTTTGAAATTTTTGCTAAATATTTGTAGTGCTCAGTAACTTGTGGAAAAGGAGTACAGCATCGTTCCTCTGAATGCCAAAACAGTGAAAATATAAAACAACCTGACAGTCACTGTGATCCTTCCACTAAAATTACTTCAAGGGAATGTGACCAGGGTCAGTGCCCTTACTGGAGTGTTGGTAACTGGACAGAGGTGAGGAAAATGTAATACAAATAACTTTTTTTTTAAATGCGCATGTGAGTAATTTAATTCTTAGTTACAGAATGTGAATTTCTAATCCATGTAAAATTTACATTAAATTTTTATTTATTTATAATTTTAGTGCTCAGTGACATGTGGTTCTGGAATAAAAAGTAGGCCTTTGTGGTGTCAACATGAGAAAAAGTATGTTGACAGTCGCTATTGTAAAAATGAAGATATTCCAAATACTACAGAAAGATGCGGTGGTGGTGAATGTTATTCTTGGAACACTGAAGAATGGGAATCAGTAAGATATTTTGTTTTTATCTTAGTAATAGTGTGATTAAAATAAAAAGATTCATATAGTTCTAATTTATAACTATATTTACATATTAGAAAGAAATTTATTGAGGAATCTGTCCTCTTCACAGAACTGATAAAGTAGTAGTCTTCTCATTGTAAGTGATGACTCTGAATTAGGATTCAATTGTGACACTCTAAATCATTTTTTAATTTTTAAAAATAGGTGTTGTGTTTGGTAGAATCGGGGATGACTTTTTTTTTTTTTTTTCTTTTTTTTAAACTTTACAGAGTTTATATCATTGGTGGGTAAAATTAAAGTAATAATGCAAAAAATGTGTGATATCTCGAGAACTACAAGATGAATTTGAATGTAATTTGGTAGGCTGATATTTCAGTTTACAACAGATACATACATTACTGCAAATAAGGACAAAAGATAGCATTTCTGTTATATGCTAAGGTTACCAAAGCATGATGATTCTGTTATAGGCAAACATATCCCAATCTCTAAGAAAAGAAGACTTGCAGAAAGCATGTCTACAGGGGAACAACTATCACAAAGAACCCTCATACCATTGATGAAACTGTTGAAAATGTTCATAGCAAGAAATCTCATTTTCTCGCAAGAGCAGGTTTTTAACTCATTGAGGGTTTTTAAAGGGGAATGCAGAAGAAATAGTGCCGAGAAACTGATAACTTTGTCAGATGATCTAATCAAGGTTGCACAAGAGTTACAGCATTCCCCCTAATCAAAGAGGTGGAAGTAAATACACTATGCCATATGCAGTAGTGAGCAAACAACTTCTGTTCAGCACATCAATTCTTACAAAGCCATGATTTCAAGGCAATGATTAAGCTTTTTGCAGCAAAGGTTAAAACTTCAGTATTTGAAAGAGAGAACAAATGATGAGGCTTTGCAAGAAGAAGAATTAATGATGAGTCCTGATGAACCAACTCGGGCATATCAGATGGCCGACAATGAAATTCATGGCTCTGTTCTGAACTCGACAGAGCAAGAAAACGATTCTGACAATGACACACAGTGCCGGATTTATGTATAAAGCTGCATAAGTTATAGCTTAGGGTCTCCACTTTCTTGAGGCCACCCCCAAAAATTGTACCATATACTATATCAAAAAAATTGATTTGTTATTCCTCACAAAGGGCCCTATATCCCAAATAGTTAGGATCTCGTCAAATCTAAACACGGGTCTGCTGACACAGATAGTGAATTTATAGGAGTGAGAAAATATCTTTTAATGAAGCTTTAAAACATGGTAAAAAATAAAAATAATAACTGAATGTTTTAGAACAACAGATCTGTATCACAAAGCAAGAGATTATGACTAAAAAATTTTCCAAAAAAAAAAAAAAAAAAAAATTCTGGAACACCCTAAAGTTTTAAAACAAACTTCTATCAGAAAAATCTTTGAAATGTAAAAAAAAAAAAAAGAAAAAGAAAAGAAAAGAAAAAAAAAAGAAAGAAAATGAAGTATGTTATTCTTTAACCCATTCTCAATGGGCATCTCTGTTACCGAAGCGTTGTCTTGGAACAGCGCATTAACCGGATGCGTCGTCTTGTGGGGACGGGCAATTCATGCTGCTAAAATTGCCCGTCCCCACTTTGGAAAAAAAAAATTCTATAAATTAAATTTATCATCCAATTGTTCCAATTTTGGTACATTATGAGAAGAATATTCAGGTAGTTGTCAGAATTAATTTTAAAGCTTTATTATTATATTTTCCTTAAAAATTTTATAAAATACTCATTCTAGAATAATATAATTTTCCCCTTATCCCACAAATAAATATATATATGGAAAAATATCCAAACAATTGCAGATTTTATTCAACGTAACACGCAATTAAAATTTAAAAATATTAAAACTGTCTTTCATAAAAATTCAACGAGCAAACAACAAAAAGTAAGCAATAAATATTACAAAATGAGACAGTGTATGATATTCTTTTAAACATGGGTGTACGCAAAGTCCAATGTTGCATATGTCACAGGAATATAATATCTGCTGCTATTTTACTCAGCAAATTTGTCTCGTTTAGCATTTATACATGTTCTATGGTCAGATAGTGCTTTCGTTTTGCCATTTAAAAGAAAAAAAAAAAAAAAAAAAAAAAAAAAAACACCTTTTGCTAAGCGATACAAAATATTCGTATCAATGCCAAAAACTCAAAGAATAATAAAAAAGTCTCTAATGATAGGACATCTACCCCACTATAACATAATAAAAAAATAAAATAAAAATAAAAATAAGAAAAATTAATAATTAAAAGTATTCCAGAGCATTGAGAACATGTTCATTTATTTATATAAAATGACACAGTAAGAGCCATTATATTACTCAATACTAGCAAATTAGCATTTGTGTATATTCTACGTTTAGATACTGCTTTTTTTCTGCCATTAAAAAAGTCTGTTTCATTGACAATAAAAAATATTCATCTCAAAGCCAGAAAAATCTAAGAGTAATTAAAAAAAACTCTAATGATAGAACATCTATCCCACTTTATCGTAAAAATAAAAATAAAACGTACCTCAATGCAGTGAAAACACGTACATTTGTTTATATCAAATGACGCAGTTAAAGAGACATTACATTGCTCAACACCCATCCACGAATCTCACTTTCATTCCGAAACAAAATACCAAAAATAAAAACATTGCATAGGAATGAAGGTAAACATGTAAGGATCTTAAGTTTTACTAACGTTTATTTTATTTTAAATCTTTACTATCACTTCTTATTTTCTACTTCCGGCCAGAATTATAAGCGTGAAGGAGTTTATGCAAAGTTGTCTGGCGAACGCCAAGTATTTAAGTGTGGCCTTTTTGCCAAGCAGAGAGGAGAGGAAGCCGTGAGTTCGAAGCAGGCCGCTTACCTTAGAAGTTACGCAGTTGCTACTTTTGCCTTCCAGGCCAGAGGTTTTAATCCTCTTGATAAATTAAACGTATTGTAGTGTTCACAGTCTCTGTGCTACATACGCTTTCTGTTATATAAGGCCAATCTTATTATTCTAAAGTTAAATTAGAGTTTAGTTTTATTTTGATATCTTTTAAGTTAGACCCCGAGTGGAGGGTCATTGTATTCCGAAGTACGGAAGTCATTGTATATAAAGAAAAAAAAATAAAGGGTTTTGTATACCCTTCGTCTGTATCCTGTCTACTTACTACACCTTCCTGAACATAGCTTGAGTAAGCTCTCCTGTTCCTAGTTCAGGTCCATTGTATGTTTCCGAACGCAAGGTCAGAAGAGAACATTGAAGCCCTGATAGTGGCGCCCGAAGAATAAGAATAACCATGGACGAGTTTCAAGAAGAACCTGTGCTGCCTGTAGCAGCGGCTCAGAATCCAGAAATGCCAGCTGCCGCCCTGGAAGGATTTGAATACATCGTCCCAGACCATGCGCGCTTCGATGAAACCAGCAAGCAACGTTTCGGTGGAAACTCACCGGTAACCAGTTTTTTGGAAAAATTGGATGACCCACTTCATGCTATATCCAGTGCCATGAGTTTCCAAAAAGTCACCTTAGCTACCAGCGCTTTGAGGGGCCAAGCGCTTAACTGGTTCAAATGTATCGGCAGAAGTCTCTTGGGTCAAGCAGGAAGTCCCACCTATACCTACGAAAATTTCAAGACTGCCCTACTAAAAGCCTTCCCTGTTGTAAGGGATCGTGCGAAATTAGAAACACAGAACTTTTCAGTATATATCAACAAAGAATGGAAAACCTCTCTCAGCTTTATTTTAAGAAAAATTCACGTTTCAAGCTCTTGTATGGAAACCGTCCGGATCCTGAAATAATTCAAGTGATTTTGCCGAGGTTACTACCCCAAGTGCAAGACTTTATTGAATTGAGAAATCCGACTACACTGGAAAAATTATTTGAGCTAGCAATCCAGTTTGAAAGTAGAAGAACGGCGGACGTCGAAAGAAGACGCCAATATCAACAGCAGCGAAACCAATTTGGTACGCCAAGACTACAGCAAACTCAAGCACATGGCTACGGAGAAAAAGCGAATCAGTGGGCAAGGAACCCGAGCATTCAAAAACAGCCGGCGAACGTCGACAGTTCCAATAGCAACCCAGGAAAAAAAGTCTCAAGGCCAGTGGAGAAAGAAGGAAAGCACCGAAAGAAGAAAAAAAATAATTTAAACTAAAACGGATTTCTGCTGACGAGAGGTGCGGAAATCCGAAGGCCACGAAAACCCCTCTTCCTACAAGTTAAATACAGTAATGGTGAAAAATTTAACTCTTCCGAAGATTGAAGTCTTGGTAAATAATATCCCGGCCACCGCACTCCTGGATACCGGCGCGCAGTGTTCCTGTGTGGCAGAAGTCTTTTTTAGAAAGTATTTTCGCAAATACCGCATATATAATGCGGATAATACAAACAGTATTAGCGGCGCAAGGAGAACAATGTAAGTGCGTAGGTAAAGTACCTTTGTACATCCGTATCAAGGACGAACAAGTAAAGGTGATGTTTTTTATAGTAAAGAATTTGCAAGCACACTTAATACTAGGAATAGACTTTCTTTCAGACGCACAAGCTACACTGGATTTTAATGAAGCGTCTCTTAAGCTGACGATGAAACCAGTGCGTGTAGAAAAGGTTGAACCGCCAAGGTTAAATCTTGACCACCTGCCTAACGACGAGCAAGATAGAATCCGACAAGTGGTAAGTGAATTTGCTTCCTTATTTAGTGATATTCCAGGATTTACCCAGGTTACTAACCATAGTATTGACACCGGAGATGCATTGCCAGTTCGTCAAAAACCATACCGGTATGATAAGAATAAGGAAAAAAAATTATAGAATGGCATATTACCGATATGCTACGTAAAAAGATCGTAACGCCTATCTCAAGTAGTTATGCTAGTCCCGGTGGTTTTATGTAAGAAAAATAATGATTATCCTTTGGAGCATCCAAAAAGTGGAGAGATTCGCTATTGATTACCGTAAATTAAATTCCATAACGAAATATCCGGTA